TTTATTTTGTGTGCACACCTGGAATGCTGGGACATTTGTAATGATTATCCTCCACTAAATACAGAGTAGAGCAGGAGAAGGTTTGGAAATGACACACTGGAGGGATTACTGGTAGATGGATGAACACATGAGGGCCCATTAAAAAGATCAGGATTTTTCAGGACACCAATCTGGATGTGAAGGAACACCAGAGAAATGTATTTAGAACCAAAAAGCTTCTAGGTAAGTCTCTACACTAAGACCATTTAAATAGTAGAAGAGAAATCTAAATAATCAGATGCCCCAGGGACTGGCCTTTTCTGTCAGAGACCTGGATACGAATCCTGGCTCTGTGATCTAATAACCAGCACCTGGAACAAGTTACTTAAATTCTATAAGTTTATTTGTTTTCACCCGTGAAATGGGAATATTAATAGTGCCTTTCTCATAGGCTAATGTGAGGATTATGCACACAAATCCATCACCCTTATACTTGGCACATAATAAGCACTCAGTGACTGTTGTTATTATTTGAACCCTCTATAACAATGTATAAGGTGATCAGTGTCCACACAGACTCCATATCCTGGAACAACTGAATAGGGAGGGGGATGCCTTTATAATATACATAGGTGAAGTTAATAAATGTAAGGGGAAGTCTGATTTAAATGGAAGGTAGTAAACCCATGGTCTCCATTGCCCCATGAGATGTTACAGGCTGAAAACAAATAAAAGACTCATGGATGATAGAATTATCACAGATAATTAATGGAAACATGATATTTGATAGTTGTTGCTAAACTCATGATTAATGTCAAAGAGAAAGGCTATTTTCCCATAAATTCTCCATAGAGTCAGGCTGTTAGACTGGATATCCCCTGAGGTTGATACAATGGGGGCAGCTCTCAAATTTATATGGCTAACTAACTGTGGTCTGAATTAATCAAACTCTTATTTTAATCTCAAAATTTCCCATGACCATGGTACATAGCAATAATCAGAAGACATCAAAGTGATTGTTGTCTCCTGGCATTTTTGTAGTCATTCTAAACATCATTGTTCAAAAAGACTCAATGGCTTTGAATGAAGAGCTGCAGAAATATGAAGCCTTCGTATTAGCCAGAAACCTTTGTTAGAATCCTGACTCAGCAAGCAAAAGCCTACCCAATCAGATAATGCAGATGCAGTGTATTTTTAGAAGTGTCAAGGAATTTTTTTTCTAACTCATTAGAAACACAAAAGAGATTTCAAAATCCTGGAAGCACTGATTTGTTCTGTACTTCTTTTATAGGCTGCTGTCCAGAACATGTGTTTCAACTGGTGGCTATGTGAATACCAGTTATTAGAGTGGCCTCTCTGTATGGAGTGGCTACAGGAAGTGTAATTAAGTTAGTTAGGGTAATCAGAAGGGGTGAGATATAGAGGGTTTCCCTTCTCTAACAGCAATCATAAGGCTCTAGCATTAGAAATATATGCTGTCAAATTCTAGTTCAGCCACTTACTATTAATAGCTTGGTGACTTTGGGGCAGGTAAGTTAGCTGCTCTAAACCTTCATTTTATCATCTTTAAATTGAATTAATAACAGCTACCTCATAAAGGTATGGTGAACATTAAATGCCAGAAATGGATAGTCAATTTTTTAGTAATGTGGTAGTTAAATAAGCATCATTAATAAATTAAAGCACTCAGCACAGTGCCTGGCATAAAGTAGTCATTCACCAACTATTGGTTCCTTTTCCCTAGATGTCTAAAAAGCCAAATTTTATACCCAAAGGGATGAATCTTCTATGCATAGGGAAGAGTAAAATTCTGCACGGTCCTTCACAGGGTTGATATGAAGCAACTAGGGTTGGTGGAATACAATCATAACTGACTTATCATTGAATAGATAAGAGAACCAGAGCCATGCAGGGTAAGTACTATCAGTCAATGGGCAGGAAGCAAGTTCGAAATGACCCAAGAATCAAAGCCAATACCAGGAAGTAATATCAGTAGTTTAATACATGAATGCTCAAAGCTATAGTGGCAATCAGTGACTGAACAACATTGTTTGGGTTCAAAGATGCATTCACTAAGATACTTTTACTGACTCTACTAAATGGTGTAACTCACTTGTAAGACTTTTGTTGTTAAAATGTGTACAGTGACTGTCCCCCAATATGACATTGAAGATCCATGACACTAAATTGCCTTGAAAGTTTTGCCATTCTCTTGGTTTATTGAGGTCTGGGTCTTCATAAAGAGGCAATCAAAGAGGCCACCAGTGTAGAGGGCATTACAGATGTGACCCAAGCTTGTAGAGCAATTTCAAGGGCACAAGGTATTAGATTTTGTCAAGATGCTGGTAGAAATTCTGTGTACTTTAAATGCTTTATTTTACTTCATAGATGACTATTGTGGTCATAGGCAAGATGGTGCTGGGTGGAGACGATCTTCCAGAATCCAGAAAAGAGTGATTTTTGCTGTACTCTTATGGATAGAAGTGAAGGCAGTGACACCATGAATCATATGTGCTGTCATATGAACAGAACAGAGGTGGTGAGAGTGAAGCCAATCCTGTACTCCCTCTTTCTAACAGTGCTTTTCCATGATCCATGTCTATAGTCATGTGTTTCATCAATGACAGTATATTCTGACAGTTGGACTGAACAATGAAGTATTGTAAAAGATGTTATGGTAGGTACCATGACTCTGGATGTGAGTGGAGTTAAGTGCAGAAAGTGGCAACTGTAGGTATTTAGAAATTTTATTACAGCTATACACAAATGAAAGATAAAGAGGGAAATTTCCTGACTGTTGGGGCAGGGTTCCTAGGGAGGCCAATCTTCAGTGGACGCATGATGATTCACACTTCAGTGCTGACTTTGCATAGTGAGAATCTTATTTTTTTTCAGTGTGTTCAGAGGCAATTAGGATCAGGAGGATTTATGCTCTTGAAACACACAAGAAACTGATGTTTAAGCCAAACACCAATTTATTCATTTATAACGAGAATTAACTGCCAAATAAGCTAGAACACTCATGTCAGCTGATTAGCAAATTTTCTCCCCATAACAGAGTTTATACAGGAAAGTAATTACAATTATATTGCTTGGAAAGCATGAAGTCAGAGCAAAGGGAGTCAGGTGACCATCTTAATGGCTAATGACACAACTTGGGATGGCCTGGGGCCTCCACCCCACTGCAGGGGTGGATATGCCAATGGTCTGCTGATCAATATCTCACCTCTAAGGCTAGAGAGATTAACAATGCCTATGTTTTTCTAATGCTTCCTTTTCTATGTCCCATGTATGCCATTCTATTATTAACAAATCCTTCTTCAGCTTCATCATAAGATGATTAGATTCGATTTTGCTAAGTGGCATCAATCATGTAGGAGATCTACATCCCTGAAGCTACAACCTTGATTGGATTTGGGAGTTCTCCAAGCCTTTGAAGTTGCTGACTACATCTTTGAGTAGGTTATATCTCATCTGTTTTCTGTGGATTCTAATTAATTTCACTCTCAGGGAAATTTACATACCTGAAAGTTCTAAGGACACACTGTTGTTACTCTCTTTATGGTAAATAATTAGTCATTCTCATTGAAATAGATGGTGTATGGTGGATGGTATCACTATAACAAAATTTTGAAGTGGTAAAATGATCGCTAGCTTGTAGGCAATAAAGCATTATCCCAGTATCCCATTCATATGCTCAGCGTGACTATTGGATTGTATCACATAGTGTACAAGAGATCTTTGATAGGGATTACCTCAATAAGAGGCCTTCAGAAGAAGGTGAACTGAAATTCATAGCCCTGGATATCAATATTTTCTGAGAAGTTATGAAGTTTGAAGATTTTGGGGGGACAAAGGTAATGTTACTGCAAAGGGAAGGTCCAGACAGAAAATAAAGTGATACATCTTTGGGAGAGAGCCCACAATGATGAAATGTGGCCCTAAGATAAGGAAAGATTGGTGATCAAGCCAATTGAATGCTCTTATCAGCATTCCAGGATCATCCATACTGGGGTCCATAAGGAAAGTGACTGGAGGCTATTTAGTCCTTTATTATAGAATTGGTAGAGATAGATCAGGATACCTCCAGGTAATCCCAGAGTCACCCTAAGTTCAAATAGAACTACGTGTTAGAGGATCTCATACAATTCCAGTATTGCAGTGGGGATTTCTTGGTATAACTGGTATATGTGTATTCAGGTTTCTTTGTTGTGGGAGTATATGGAGTAATGTGGATACATAGCAAGCTGTTGTTAATGGAGACTCCCTGTGAATGCAAATAAGGATTGGCACAGTGGTTAGAGAGGCACTAATGGATGAAAAGTTTTGCTTGTTGGTGCTACAGAATGAGAGTGGTAAGGTCCTAACTGGGTTTAAGTACTGTCAAAGGTAGCACAATTCTCCAGAAACAAAGTCAAGTGTAATGGCATTTCATGTTCTGAGAGTTCTTGATGACTGCTAGGGAATGTGGGATTACCAATATTTCTTTAGGAGATCCATTATGGGGACATACAGCAGCACCAAGAAGCAGGTAACAGAAGGCTGGTAATTACCATCAAACACTGATCATCACTGGATATCCTTAACATTTTAGGGAGTTGTTCCTTTCCAGCATAATACTATTTTTGTTCAGAAGCATCAGGAATCTATATACAGGGCTTACATGTGCCAAGAGTACAACAAAAGCAATCAAACCCCGACTTCTTGAGTTTTGTGCACAGAGAGTGTTAATGTACGTTCCCCAGGATTTTTCAGATGAGATGGTTCAGAAAAGTTGTTTGTCGTTCATTGTTTTTTTAAGATCCTCAATTAGATGAGGGCCCCCGGAGGTGGTCCATAGGGTAGAGATCAATAACAATGAGTAGTGATCCTAGATGGTGACCACATCAAGGCCACTAGTGTCAGGGAGTACTGCAGGGTCTGGCTGTCAGTCTTTAGTGGAGATTTATTTGGCCAGATTCCCTGTTCAAGGCAGCAAAGACACACTGCAAACACAGTAATTATGATGGGACACCTTCTTCTATTCTTACTAAATATATTTCAGAGGTCATTATTCTAGAACATTTTGACTTGGCCATAAGACATGTTTGAACCTCAAGTAGGGTTGTCGGGGAAGAGGGGAGTAAGCTGGAATTGGTAGGGCTTGGCTAAAAGCATGTACATGCCTGAAGGGCTGGCCCTCAAAGAAGGGGACCAACAGTTCTAAACAGATTGTTCAAATGGTCATACAATCTGGTTTGTTAATAGCCAAGAGGCTTAGTTTGTTAGGCAAGCAGTAGTCTTTAGATGGCGACAGAATACATAGCTGTATAGAAGGGTGACAGAGTTGTGGTTCCAGGAAAGTTGCTTTGTGTTGAAGCTAGAGCCAGTCAATAGGTGGAGCATGATCCAGACTCTAGGAGAATACTAGCAGGATACGGGAATCCAATTAGGACTTTAGCCAAAGATCCTAAACCAACAGGATACAGACCAATGAGAGTGAGGGTAAAAGGTTTGGGCCCAATCCTAGACACACAAGATACAGGACTTGGGCCAACAAACTCAACCCAGATCGAACTCATTGGTGAAGATGGCATTCCCAATGCACTGCTAGAGTCATTTTCATTGGCTGAGATTGGACAAAGTTTTGCCAGAAGGCTTTCAGTACTCTTGGGGAATTGGAACAAACTGGAGAAAGTGTCTGTAAATTGTTTTCATCATTGGGTCAGGTTTGGTGAGGCGTCAGTTGCCAATGAACAAGATCTTGTCATTCAAATTCCCTGATGTACATCAGTTCATGACTACCTACAAAGTGATATTACATTCCCTCACCTGTATTTTAAAAGTTACTGCAGGATATAAATTAGTAAGGCGAGAGGTGAGAGGCATGTAAGTTTACAAAGTGACTTTCCAGGGATCTTCTTACTGGTGAGTTGTGTTATTTGTCCTTGCTGGGGCTCGAGAACGTTTGGCAAAGCAATCTCTTGTAAAGTGATCAGCCTGGCTGCAGTAGAGGCATAGCTGAGTTTCTTGCTGGCGAGCTCGTTTGGCTGGAGTGAGAGGTGGCTGGCTTCCCCGCAGCTGTATAGGCTCTTCCTTGGGTGGAGGACCTGTGGAGCTGGAGAGGGCTGGATTCTGGATCAGGGAAGCCAACATGGGGAGCTGAGTCTCCGACTGTAGGAGCTCTGGCCTGTCACTATGTTTCTTGTCCAACTGAATGCACTCAGTGATTAGGTCTGGGAGATTGTCCATCATATCTGTGACACTCTCTTCATCCTGGATGGAGTCATCTAGTCCCTCTTTGAAATGACAACTCTGATTGGTTTCATGACAGCTTAGATTTTGAGCAAAAAGCTGGAAAGTAGTAATGTCCTGTTGAGAGGAGTTGTCCCCTTTGTCAACCTTAGTATTCATCAAAGGGTTCATTTCCTGTTTTTTGGATTCACCAAATGACTGCTGGAACTCAAGAACAAAGTTCTCATATTGCTTTAGCAAAGTGCTCTGGTCAGGCCTAGATATGGCCCCACAACTTCCCAACTGCTGAGATAGGTAGCCAAAAAAGAGTTTGACCCGAGCATCATCTGAAGGATTGGAGAGCTGTAGATCTGTCAAGTAGGTAGTCACCTGAGCAAGGAATCCTGCAAGACTGGCAGGGTCATCATGAATCTTGGTGAGATGCTCAAATGAGCAGGGTACAGTCATCGCTGGGGTGGCCAGGGCAGGCATACCTTGGTCTTTCAGAGCAGAGTTCTCCTTGGTTGGATGCTGCATTTGTGGTTGCAGAGTCAGATTCTCTGCCTGAGGAAAGGAAGGCTCAGCCTGCAAGGTAGGTGGAGATTCCATGTACTTCTCCATTATATTTCCTGGAATCAAGTGGGAATGAGTAGAATGGAGTACCAGTATTGGAGATGAATGGACAAACAGTGGATTTGCTCTGTGATCAGAGAAGCAGTGTCAAGACCAAGTAGCCAAAGCTGTTAGCCATCAAGAAGACACTAGGGGATGCTGAGAGCTGAATTGGAGACATGCCAAAAATTGTTGTACATGACTCAATGTTGCCTCTTCATAGAGAATGCCAATATCCTGCACATACAGAAGAAATAAATTACCTTAGAACACATAAAGGAGTTGGAATTAAGAAGATATATACAACAATCACAGTAGTTTTCTCTCCTTCTTCCCTTCCCTTGTAAAATAGGGACAATCTTCCCTCAACCAAACCCTTCTTCTAAAGTGTCTGTTTTCATTAGAGATTCAAAGAATTTCACCATCCAAAGTGATTTTAGAGATCATTCAGGCCAAATTTATAATTTTGCTGATGAGAAACAGAGACCCTGAGAGGTAAAGATGTTTGCCCAACATCGCACAGCTAGTTAATATCAGAGATGGCCCACTCATCAGGGCTGCTGTCCAAAACAGCGTTTCCTCCAAGACCACAAATGTGCTCATTTGCCTGTATTGCTTGAGCATGATTATGGGTCATACCCCTGGTTCCACAAAATATGATCTGAGAACAAGAAATATTGGTACCACCAGGGAGACTGTTAGAAATGCAGAATCTTGGGTCCCACCACAGACCTACTGAATCAGTTCTCACACTTTAACAAGATTCTTAAAGTGATTAGAATGTGCATTAAAGTTTGAGAATCACTGCTCTAGAAAGTACTTAGTTCAAATTGGAGTAATCACTGGTTGGACTTGACCCTCAGTGCCCCAAGCCTAGACTGATTGCAGTGGGGATTTGATTGCTGAGATGGTAGTTAATGCATTTTTCTGTCTTCCTAGTCACTGTCTGAGGTCATATTTTGTTACCATGGAAATAATTAAAACATCACAGGCAAGATGTAGAGGTAAGGTTGAGAACCTAGCAAACAAGAACTGAATATTCTTTAAAGTAAAAAGATTAAAATCTTCAGCAGTCTTTTCTGCATTGATAACAAAAATAAAGCAACCAGAAAAAGTTAAAACAGGTCCCAGACATATGGCATAGCAGTTGAACTATTATGCACTTCAATTCCTCTCATTGCCCTTTCCTTCTGTATAGCATACTGTTTGAATGTATTTAAATTGTCCACTAGTGTGCAAAAAAATGTGTATCACTGAATCTTTTAAAATGTAAGACTCAATTCCCTAGGTTTTATTTGATGGTTCTTTCTCTCTGGATCTAGGAAAAAAATATTGGAAGACAAGTAGTGTAAGATTGGGGGTCAAAAACTCTTATCCAAACACTAGCATTAATCATTTAGATGACCTTGAAGAACTCATTGGGGTCTCAGTTTCCTTTTCTATCTAATGAGGATGACTATCTTGTCTACCTTATAGGGTTGTTGTATCAATGAGATAGGTGTTCCAGACAGCAAAAAGACAAATATTTACTTCCAAAATTGTTCCAGTGCAGTTGAACAATGCCCAGTGATAAGGCTCTACTGTTATGACATATTGCCAAAGAAGGGAGATACTGTCATACCCTCCTTTCTTTATTCCTTTCCATATCTCACCATTCTAATCTCCTGACCATTCTAATCTTCCAGACATCTTCCACTTCCCAGGTGCCCATCCATAAATTCACTCCTGCCATTCCAGCTAAGTGTCAACTGATAGCTAAGATGTTAGTCCATAAGGGTTAATGATTGGCCTTTCTCCGAGCATTTACTTTAATGTGCATAAGAATCAGCTTGGTCCTGTACTTTAACAAGCTGGCCAGTTGATTTCTGTTGCAGGTGGTCCCTGTGCAAAACACTGTCCAGATGAACCTCAAGGAATAAAGCCAAATTAGTCACATCGCAGACAAGCAGGGATGAGAAAGGAACATATTTATTTAAGGGTAGGAGGTTGGCCCTCAAATGGCATAGAATGGATAGTACTCTATTCTACCTCTATATAGAGCCCACAAAGACCTCACCTTGTCCTTCACAGCTTCTCATCTCTCCCATGCCATAGAATTCAAGAATTAAACTTGTAATTTCTAAAGTCAAGCTGACCTGCGTCTAAATCCTGGCTAGAAAAAAAGCTATGCTACTCTGGGCAAGTTATTTAACCTCTTTGAGAATCAGTTTCCAAACTTTAAAATGGACATATTTATAATACCTGCCTCATAGTGTTATGAATATTAAATGAGATGAAAATAGATTAACACAACTTCATGCATATGGCAAGTGGTCCATAAATGTTAGCTATCATTATTCTAGATCCACAGTCTGTTATCTGTTTTAGAATTTTAGAATTTAGAATTTAATGCTTTTTTCAGATTTTAGAAAGGTAATGTGGAGTATATACTGTTTATTACATAATGCCTCCAGCGGTACCTGGGGAAATATTCCATAATTAAGCCATTAACATTCCTGCAGGAAAAAAAAAATATGTCTGATTATTCACACCAAAAGGGATAAAGACTAAGTTCATGTCAATTCAGGTCAAGTTTTGCTGCCAAATGAGTTCTGGCACCAAATTCATGAAAAAAAAATTGCATCAATTTTACAGAACTTTTTGATTTTAGAATTGAGATAAAAGATTGCAGACCTCTACCAAACTCTTCTTTTGACTGGTGTGATTACAGCTTTTCCTTCCCTGTCCCTGCCTTCTTCCCTTTATCTCCACTCTCAGAAATTCCAGAATCTCTGCTGAGGTCTCCTATTCTTTTTACAGAATTATGTATTCAAGGTGGCATAGCATTTAATTTTCCTAATTATGTAGCACTGGTGAAACACTTGCTAAAATTATAAGCATTAGCCCAAATGCAAATCATATAATAGCACTGTTGTCAATGACAATTACTTAATACCTCAAAGAAAATCTACCTTGCCTTATCATTTTGGAAATTACTCTCCTTTTAAAGGTCAGTGGCCTTCTATTTGGATTGCCCTAGAGGATCCTGGGGCAAACTCAGCCAGTCTGGAGGAGTTCCAGACCATGCCCTTGAAGAGATAAAGCAGAAACGTAGCTGGAACCTCAAATACACAGACTTGGGGGATCAGACTTGTGAGCTTGGATCAGGTCTGACACAAAACTATATACATTTAAGCTTTTACTTAATAGGTATGTGTTTCCACTGCAAAAACACAACAAAAAATGGGATTAGTAAATTACTATAGGCCATTTTAGTGTTTGTGTTCAGTTTGGCTCAAAGCCATGGTTAACAGTTTCCCTGAACATAAATGTACTACACTCTAGAGTCCCCTGAGTCCCCATTTGGAGAAGGGCCAACAGGAGTACCCTGTTGCTTATAAGAGAGATTTGTGACCTAACATTGCTTTAATTTCAAGCTGTTCTACATAATCCTTTGGAGGAGGAGCTTTGACCTAGGGTCATGCCACCACCCAGAGCAGTTGCACTTGAGCTCTAGACCTTCGAAGGAATGCTATGGCCACAAAAGGTAAACTGAGATAAAGTAACCCTCAAGAGGTGACCAGAAAGGCAAACTGTTTAGACTTGTCTGGAGACCTATGTGTGAACCTAGCTCTGCCACCATACAGATGTGCAAGCTTGAGCAAGTCACTCCTTCTCTCTGGGCCTCAGTTTCTTTATCTGTACAATGAAAGGATTGGGCTCCTCACACAAATAAAATGTGGTGTAAGTATACCATAGAGTTCTACTCAGCCACAAAAAACAATGGTGATATAGCACCTCCTGTATTATCCTGGATAGAGCTGGAACCCATTCTACTAAGTGAAGTATCAGAAGAATGGAGAAACAAGCACCACATGTACTCACCATCAAAGTGATATTAACTGATCAATGCTTAAGTGCACATATAATAGTAACATTCATCAGGTGTCAGGCAGATGGGAGGGGGAATGAGGAGATGGGTATATACACACCTAATGGGTGCAGTGCACGCCATCTGGGGGATGGACACACTTGAGTCTCTGACTCAGGTGGAGCAAAGGCAACATAGGTAACCTAAACATTTGTACCCCTATAATATGCTGAAATAAAAAGAAATCTTTAGAAAAAGAAATTCTGATTCAAGAGGATTAGAAGGAGACCCAGGAATTGAATTTGTTACAGGCACTTCAAATGATATTGAGGTAAGAGGTCTTCAGATTTTACCTTGTGAATATCGTGTGACTGATCACACAGAGCTCCAACATTTGGTAGAGATTCTCAGGAGTTTAACGTGAAGTTTCTTGGGCCCCATCCCTGGAGAGCATGATTCAGTGGGCATGGGGGGAGGGGTCTGTATAATCTGCATTTTAATCAAGCTCTACAGAGGATGCCGATATGGAAGTTTTCCCGATAACACTTTAGAGAAAATCTAGGTTGAATACTCTCAGAAGATCCTTTCTGTTTCAGCATTATCTGCGTTCTTGAAAGTAGAAAATACTTGGCTCGAACAACAGCTTCTGAAGTGCATGGTATGTGGATTACTTCCTTCCAAGGCTGTGTCTGAGGCTCCACAGGCCCCTCAAAACAGTGGGCTGGTGCTGGCCTGGCTCAGGCACATGACACGTAGCTGGCTTGAAGGCAAGAGAAAGGGTAGCAATTGAGTTGACCTTGCTCTCAGGGGTCTGTGGTTCTTTCAGGGAGGTATGCAATGCTCTGCTCTCCTCTGCCTGGGAATGAGGTAGAAAAGCCATTCTCACCCCATCAAACCTAGAGCAGCCCAGCTGTGGTACATTTGGCCATTGCTCTGTCTCACACCTCAGACCTTCCTTTAGGCTTCAATCTTCCTTCTGGCTCCGATGGACCCATGGCCCAGTTGCTTATGAAGTTAAGAGAGTTATGAACACTATCTACAAGTTCCCTGTCACAGTTCTCTAGTTTTCCTTTCGGATGTGCCTAACTCTGTTAAGGAGCCACATGTGCTCCTTCAGCCTTCCTCCCCCCTGGGCTTCACCATCTAAGTGTAGAGAGATTTAAATCTCAAAAACCTCACTTTAATATATATATTATTTTATTCCATCTTGATTGCAATTTTTCCAGGTCAGAAAACCAATACACTGAGATTATTAAGTCAAGTCAAGGAACAAGGGGGAAGCGTGATACATGAAGAATTGTCTTTATAGGAGTCTCACATGGCATACTTGTTCTCAGAGACAAGGAAGAAGCTATCTAAGGTGGCACTTGGGAGAGTGGGGATGGAGATAGGATGAGTGTCTTCATGTAGTAAGTTATGAGTTCTATATAATTGGAGGATAAGCAGAGCTAGGACTACTGCCTGGTGGGGAGTTAGAGTAGGGGACTCCAAGAATCAGAGAAGAGGGAGGCATCATAAAGAGGAATTGGTCCTTTCAAACCCATAGATTCTATAATTTGCCCAAGCACACAGCTGAAAAGTGGGTGAGGAACTAGCTGTTAGCTATGTGTAATCTAGAATCTGACTCTCAGAATCACAGCCATCCTGAACCTTACTCATCATGTTCATCTACCTCCAGTCCCCATTCCTGGAGGAGACTCAGTGGCTAAGATACAACAGGGCTTGTTTATCAATTTGAGGGCTTAGTTTGGTTTTTCTGTCCATTCCCAATGCTCCCATCGTTTAAACAGTCATGCTGTTTCAAGTAAACAATTAGGGAAAGAGTGGGAAAATTCTGATTTGCAGATCCCAAATCGTCTTAAAATGAGCCCTTTAAGCTTGAAATGAAAGGTCTTCTCCTCCATTCGTGCTCCCTGCTGTCTCTTTCATCTTTAATTCATTAAGTGCAATTCACTTAGTGCTGAACACCACTTGCAAATGATGAGCTGACAGAGCCTAGCCCACTTAGACTCAAACTTTTCAGCATTCCCAGGTCCCTGGGGTGCACAGGCAACCTGTGGCCCTGCTCAAGGTGGAGAAAGCTTAATATAAGCAACTTAGTATCATGTTTTTTGATTACAAGAAGCTTACTAACAGCCTCAGATTAAAGTTCCAAATTTACAGATGAAGAATTTGAAGCTCAGGAAATGGAAAATTATTTGAGTCATGTTTATGACTCTCTGTGCTAAGATCCAATTCCCAAACCTTTCTCAGTGAGCCTTTCTCTCCTAAGTCTTGACTATGAGTCAATGAGCAATACAGGGATTATAGAGTATGATGCAAAAGCAACCATATAATGTGATTTAGTAATCAGTAACAGCCCACACACATACAGAGCATTTTATGTGATCTGAGTATTTTCCTACTGTTCCATTTGTACTTTCAATAAAATGTGAAATAGGCAAAGCAGTCAACACTCCCTCCAGATAAAGAGTTGTCTAAGGACATACAATTATTTAGTATTAGAATTGGGATTAGAATCCTCTACACTTGCTCCTAACATCTCTATGTCCTTGAAGTAGTTTGAAGCAGTAGGAAGAAAATCATGGGCTTTGGTGTTAGATGGATGTTGGATTAAAATCCCAGTCTGGAATCAAAGCCCGACCTGTGAGACCTTGGGCAAGTTACCTCTCTGAGCCTTAGTTCTCACATCTGTAAAATCTGCATTGAAAAAAAACTATATATATATATATATATATTTTTTTTTTTCATAGAGTTGAGAGTAAAGTTCCTGGTATCCAGCAAACATCAACAATAGAAGCCACTAATAACATCATATTATCTGCAGATACTGGAAGGTTGCCTACCAAACATCTTTGTCACTAGCCCCAGTTTCTATCTAGGGATTCATGTTGTTCTGGGGAAGGCAATTCTACCCAAGTCTTGTATGGAGCAAGTAGCTTACACTAAGCCACTTAGCATATTTTCTGACCTAGTGTTTCTTCTTTGCAACACTCATATCACTTATAATTAATTATTATATGTCTGTGTTCCCTATTAGACTGTGAACTACATCAGTATGGGAATTATTCAATTTCATTTCTGTATTCTCAGGGTCTGGCACACTTCCTTATATAGAGAGTTACTCAGTAATTCTTGAATTTATAAGATCTGTCCATGGCAGCCATCGTTAGCATTAGATATTAGCAGAAGTGGTTTTTACTGTTCCTCATTCCCCATATATCTGTTCTTTTATTGTTCCCTGATGTAAGTGGAAAACTCAGCCCTGCTCCAGTGTATCTCATCATGTTTTCATATTACAGATGCCTGATTTAACCAGATAGAAACACAGAAAAAGAGCGGTGGCAGTGGGAACAATGTTTAGAAGGCAGATGTCCTAGCTGTGTATTTCAATGACCTTAGCCAGAGCAGTGAGAGGAAGTAGCCTCAGAAACCCATGAGAATGTGTTTTGCTTGGATGAATAGGCCATTTAGTTTGTGGCTACTCTCTTCTTAGAAGAGTTTCAGATTGGCCCAGGCCCTAGGTCAAGATTATCTAGCAGACATGGCAAGAAAACAAATGCAAAATAATCCAGACAAGAGTTGTTTAAAGATATGGTATCTTCAAATACCTTTAGTGAAGACAGGAGATTTATTTACCTTTCATATGTTGCGCCTCATGCATAATTGAGCCACAAGCTTGAGCAGTGGAGCAAATTCTGGCGTCTGTGAAAAGACAAGGTGGGAATGGATGGGCCTCTTTAGCAGCCCAAGCAGCAGCAGCTGCAGCAACCTTAGTTCTGTGCCCTTACAGTTACAGTTGGCCCTTTTCATTGGCTGATGTTCTTCAATGTCCTGATATCGGAACAGATAGAGTTTTGGGCTCTGCCAGTTGCTACCTGTGTAATCTCAGGCCAGTCAATCTCTTCAAGCTTCATTTTCTTTATCCACAAAATGGAGCCAATAATATCCATCACAGAAGGTTGTTTGTTCATTTATATAATAAATCCTTATTGAATATCTATATTGTGCCAGCCATTGTGTTGGGCACTAGGAAACAATAATGAGCTCTCATCAAGCATAGACATTCTGGAATTACTGATTCCAGAATAATATATGCAATCTGCTGATCTCAGTACCTGGCTCATAAGAGCCATTTAATAAATGACAGCTGTCACTTTAATAGTCTGAAATATAAGGATGTGCTGATTATGAGCCTAGGCTCTGGAATCACATCTGGATTTCAATTCTATTTAATAGTTTAGAATATTAGCCATGATAACACGCGACCGCAGGTTGCACAACCAACCCTTCAAAAATTGGATGAATTGGGCTACAAAATTTTGTCTCATTCGCCATATTGGCCTGACCTCTTACCAACCCACTACCACTTATTCAAGCATCTCGACAACTTTTTGCAGGGAAGACACTTCCACAACTAGCAGGATGCAGAAGATACTTGCCAAGAGTTTGTCAAATCCAAAGCATGGATTTTTACACTACAGGAATAAACAAACATTTCTCATTGGCAAAAATGTGTTGATTGTAACCGTTCTTATTTTGATTAATAAAGATGTGTTTGAGCCTACTTATAAAGATTTAAAAAAAAAGAATATTAGCTTCACATATTTGCCATGAGAACTTGGGCAAGTTTTCTTTTTTTTTTTTAACCTCAAATACCTCAATTTCCTGACATATAAAATAACTAATAATGATCATACTTTCTTTTTTAAATAAGCTTGGGATGATCAAATAAGAGCGAATGTGAAATTTCCAGCAAGTCTTTTCTCCTCTAAGGGCTAACAACTAAGGATTGAAACAGATTCAGCTGGATCAAAAATAAAAAGCCTTTCAAGGAAAGTGTCTCTTGAGCTGCTTTAAGCTTGTCTAGAGCAAAAAGGAAAGTAAATGGACAAACTATTGTTAGAAGGGCCGATAACTCTGATGGCATTCTAAGTACAGATATTGCAGGGAAAGACACTTTATGGGTGACAAGCAAACAGCTCCCTTCTTCACATCCATCACAGGTGAGAAAACACTGTCAGTGTACTTATGGCCTTTGCTTATAACAGGCTCAAAATGCCCCCTTTGCAAAGTCCTTTTCTCTTGAGTCCCAGATTTCAGCAAGGCCATGTCTACATCTCTCATCTGCTAATAGGTCATATTTCCAGTTAGGCTTAGCTCTTTCCACCTTCTTGTGTTTCTGTGTCTTTGATGACCTCTATATTCAGGATGTTGCTGTCATTTGCACTTGGAGTGCCAAAAGTATAGCTGGGGCTTCAATGGGATATGACTACCCGTGCAGAAAGCTGGCTTTTAGAAAATCTGCTCTATTGGGGGTATAATTTACATATAATAAAATTCATCCATTTGAAATGAACAGTTAATGAGTTTTGACAAATGAATACATCTGAGTAACCACCACCACATTATAGATATAGAATAATTCCACCACCCCCAAAATTTCATCATGTTCCTTTGCAGTCAGTTTCTCCAGTCCAAAGTAATCATTACTCTAATTTCTTTTAATATAGGATTTGACTTTTCTAGGAATCTCATATAAAAGAAATCATACAACATGTGGTCATTTATATGTGGCTTCTTTTACTTAGAATAATCTTTTGAGGTTCATCCATATCATGGCATGTCTCAGTACTTTATTTCTGTTTATTGCCAAAAATATTGTTATATGGATATACTACATCTTATTTCACTTGTTGATGGACATTTGTGTTATTTACAGTTTGAAGCCATTACAAATAAAGTTGCATTTGTGTACAATCTGCATGCTTACATACATTTTCTTTTTTCCCTAGCTTTATTGAGATATGATTGACAAATATAATTGTATATATTTAAGGTATACAACATGATGTTTCTATATACATATACATTGTGAAATGAGTACCACAGTCACTTCTCTTGGATGAAATACCTAGGAGTGGGTCATGTGATAAGTCTATGTTTAACTTTATAAGATGCTTCAAACTGTTTCCCAAAGTCGCTGTACCATTTTGCATTCTCACCAGCAGGGTATTCATGTTGCAGTCATATACCCTTGCCAACACTTGGCATTTTTAGTCTTTTAAAATTTATTTGTATGTGTTTTTACAAATGCTCCTGCAGGGCCATGAGCCATTTGCTCTTTCCCCTATTGGCTGCTCACAATCATCTCTACACCCATATCGTTTGAGAACTATTATGAGAAATGGGAGGAAAAGTTTTATTGGTGGTAGGGATCAGGAAAGCTGCCTTTATACATTCAGAGAGACTTCATGGGGGCTGGGGGAAAGGCAATTTAATTATACAAAGAACAAACATCAATAGTATGAAAGCTGCAAGGAAACGGATTTGATAATTCTATAATATAGAACTTTCTACAATTTAGAACTAACAATAGAATGAACTTCTCCATTAAAAAAGGAGCTACCACTGGAGGTATTCAAGTAGAGATTGGATGGACACTTCATAGAGATGTTTTGAAGCACATTCATGCACCAAATAAAGGTTATATGAATGTCCTCAAATGTTCCTATGAGAATGTGAAGCAGACAATATCAAAATTTTATGACTTCTGACTTTTCCTTTCTGTATCCTGCCCTTTCACCTAACTTGTGGCTGACCTCCAATCCATACACTCTAATACCATAAATGGCTAGAAACCAATCCCTACTAAAGTAAGTTGAAGGTTTCCCTTTCCCAGTGTCTGCATGATAGTACATTCCCCAAATAAGAAGCTCTAATGGTAGATTTTCAAGCAAGGCAACCACCAGTGAATAAAATGTTTTGGCTAGAATTTCATGCCTGCAGCCACTCACATTAGACATAGCACCAAGATCATCATCCAGCCTACCTAATAGCTAATAATGTAGGCCTTGAGGGAAGTCAAAGAAAGAGAAATAAAAACTCCCAAATATGATTTGCAAAGCAGGGCAGCAGATGAGGACTAACAAACTTCTTCTCAGCTTGGTTTTCACATCCGCATAGACCTGACTATCAAAAATTGTCCATCTGCCAACCCTTTTTTGTATCCAACACCCTCTAGCCCTGATATGGTACTGTATGTTTTTAGAATACTGCTTACATCAACTGACAGCTTTTTTTATATACCCATCAGGAGTGATGTATCTTTTATTCATCTTCACACTTTAAGTGTCTGTCAGACTGTCAAGTCTTCCTATCTTCTGTAAGGATGTATCACCGCAAAGGAAACTGGTTGTGACCTGCCAGCAGGCCTCAGGGATTCAGTCTACTGGGAAGTCCTGCAGAGCTGTGCTAGAGTAACTTTTCCCTAAGTCATGTGATCTACTTCACAAAAAATAATGTAAGAAAGAAATAGGATGAAGTTGCATCAAGGAAATGTTCATTACGCAGTGAACAAAAAAATGGAATCGGTATCCTAGAAATGGCTAAAGCACCAGCCATCAAATGGGTTTCAGTTGACTTTATAGTGGAGGCAGTACATTGCCCTAGGTGCACTCAAATGCACGTGTCACAGGTAGCAGCAGCTGTACAGAGGACACTTGTGTTCCTCTTTCTTCCATCCTTTTTCCTGTCCAAATGGCTTTTAAGCTTTCCCATATGCAAATGTCTTTTCTGGTGTATTGGCAGATTTTTTTTTTCAAAATCATAGAAGTATCTAGCATATGGGTGGTATCATATCAACACATGAAGTCCCCTTATTCTAAGTCATTCCAGAAAGATGATTAAGACCCAGAAAGGGAAAGTAATTGACTCCAGTCATTCTTAGAGAAAGAAGTGGAACTCTTAACTTTTTATCATATCCAACTCCAAACCCCAGAGGAAGGACTGAGGGTTTGTGGTGGAAGTCATGATTTTGAGGAATTCAGCCAAGTGTGGCCATCACTGCAGAGGATAGAGGAATGCTAAAACTCAGCCCTTACCCTCACCATGGACATAGAGTTTTACTGCATTCCAGCTCCCCATACCCAAACTTTGACTAGTAGGTGAGGATTTAATCTGCTGAAAGCTCTCACAACCTTATCAGTATTGGCTCAATAATCAGTGGGAGCTGAGGCCTAATGGTGAGGGTCATAAGGAAATGGAGCTATGAGGAACTGGAGAAAGCTGATAGGTTTACTTTCCTGATCTGGGCTCTCTAAGGACATTGATTTTTGCCACAGTTCATTATTTTAAAGCTTACTAGCTAGCTTCCATTATTTCTGAAGTGACTAAACTTTGCTGGGTTTAGGATCCTAGAGGTTAACACTCCCTCTTAAAGGCCTTACCACTTACTTAAGGATGAGTGGCATGAAATACAGGCTCTCAATTCCACTTAATTATGTGGCTCCTGGCTCCAATAGCTGATTAAATAGGAAGGAACTTTTGCTCAAAACTCTAGGTAGTTAGTATGACAACCAGCTAATCATGACTTAAAATAAATCCCCTGTAAAATCTCTAGGATCCAAGACCATGACCTAAAATGAACTGTGTTCATATAGTTGAGTAGGACAGGGGAGCTCTGGGGTCCAAGGAGCATTGGGAGGACAGTTGGTTACCCTGGAGGAAGGAATGTGAGTGACTCTGAGCAGGGCAAATCCTAGTGGGTCAGAGTAACACTTCAGTTGGAACTTGTAGTCTCAATGACTACTAGGGAAAAAAAGGTAAATTTCAAGGGGTCTTTAGTGCCCCCACTGCCACCCATGAGCTGGAACTACAAGTCCCAGCCTATGGGAATCCAGGAGCAGGAATGGGGAAAGGCAATG